TCGGCGCCCGGCCGGGCCGGCAGTTCGCTCCCAGTGCCCCGTGAGTCGCGTAGACGCCTCCCCGCTCGCCTCCTGCCCTGCTCGGCCGTCGCTGCGCCGGGCCCTGCGCTCCCCAGTGGCTGGGGCTCGGCTCTCCGTGTGTGTGCGTTAAACTTCGGGGCTGGTTGGGGTGTCAGTGACAATTCTCCAAGTCCTCTTGCAGTGACCGCCCGCCCCTGAGCGGGGGAGGGGGGGGGTGTGCGGAGCCAGCTGTCCCAGGCCCTGGACTTTGCACTATTCGGCCAGGGGTGCCGTCGGGGGGCCCAGCTCGGACACAGACTCCTAAATTGTGCCGCCTTATTTGTTTTTCTGTCACGAAATAGTTCCACTGATGGGAGGCGAGCTCAGCTATAAGTTTAGGTACAGTTTGCCGTAGGATTTTTTTTTTCCTTGCTGGGGTCATTTAGAGGATGTTTCTGCACCAAGAAAATAAGGTTTTCACTAGCACTGAACTGGGGAGAAGCAGATAGGAGGGGAAGACTTCCAGTCTGAGACGAGACAGCAGGGGACATTTTAATAGAACAGGGCAGCCCGAGTTGGTCCTCAAGAAGATAATTGTTTCGTGAGCTGTCTTCTTTACTTTCCTGTGTATCTTAAGAAGTGTGCATAATGTGTGGGAAGAGCCGGAAAGTTGGAGGCAACAGTAGAGTTAACTGAGGACCCAAGTGTTGGAAGTACCTTTTGATAGTTGGGGATTAGTTAGCCCTGGACAGTCCCCTGAGGAGGGGACTGGGGACTGGTTAGTTTTGGTGATCTGGGTAGTTTGCTCAGCTAGTAGCAGTCCGTTCTGCTTTGAATGTGCTGGGGTGGGTGGTGGTGGTGGTGGTGGGGGTGGTGCTATCAGGATGAAAACGCCCATCCCAGGTTCCTAGATTGTGAAAACACCCATCCTAGGTTCCTTGATTGTGGTAGGAGGGAAATTAGCCTGTTGGTAAATCTGCTTGCTTTCTCACTTCAGCAATGTCTTTAAGAAAGTTATCTTAAAAAAAAAAAAAAGTTAACGTTTAAATACAGTATGTGTGTTATACAGACACAAAAGTACTTTAAAAGCTTTCACTGATTTACTTAGATGTTCATACTGATATAAAAATATTTCTGTTGCTCACTTAACCCTTTAAACTAATTTTCCCTTCCCCCCCTTACTCCTTAATAGCATATATATAGGTCCTGTTGCTAAGAAATCCTTTGAAATGGATTTGACAGGCTGAAAAAAAACCAAACCAAAAACCCCACAAACCCAACAAAAGAACTCAGATCTGTGCTTGCTTTATTACAACAGGTAGAAGAAAAGACATTTCATTTACAGTGACAATCGAGGGTACAGCCAGAAGTATCCAGGGAAGAGTGTCAAGCAACTGTTAGAGCTTCTTAGTTCTTTCCCTGAAAGAACTGAGAGATAGTAACTCAGATTTGGAAAATCCCACTTCACCCCCACATTTAGCAACATCTTCCTTTTCTTGAGAAGCTGAATTGTTAATTTTACCAAGTTAACATGCACTGAATTATTTTATCATTATTATTGGGGGGAAAAATAACATCTATTTTGATGTTTTAAAACTAGCTGGAATTTGTGTAAAGGCTATCTGGCTTATGCATTTCCTTTTTTTAAATAGAATCCCAAAAGGCAAAAAGAAAAGTTCCACCCATTACTTTAGGAAACAGTTGTATACACACAAAGTATGGCAAAGGTCAGTGTCTTAATGTCAGTATATCTGCGTATTTCTATCAGTAGTTACAGGAGCATTCTACAAATGACTGGTGTCAAATTATTCCACCAGTTTACTCTTGCCAGAATATCATAAACCTCAGTAAACTGAAGAAGGTAAAAACTACAAGAGATAAAAACTTAGAGATTTTCCCTTGCTGGATCTCCCAGTAAAGATTGCTGAGAACATATGCACACTTGTTTCCCACTTCATCTGTATCAGAAAATACAAGGCCTTTTGTCAGTATTATTCTATACAAAAACATGCGTGGATAAACAGAGATAGATTACTCACTTGGAGCATTTTTTAAAATGTGTTGCTCCTGAGAGTTCCTGTTTGTTGTCATGGTATATAGCTGGCTGGTGATAGCTCCAAGTTGCAATAGTTTCTTGGCAAAAGAGAGGAGGAGAGAAAGAAAGAGAGCGAGCGAGCGAGCATGCTCCCTGATAAATGAGTCCAAAGATCAGATCCTGTGCTGAAGGGGTCAGGAGGGCAAGCTCCTGTTGAAGTGGAAATGTCCTCACCGGAAAGTAGCCACTCACTCTTCTAGATCTTTCCTGTAATTAACACCAGCAGATCCTGGAAATCTGAAAACACTATGGCTGTCACACAGATCACATAGTCCCTTACCTAAGATCATTGATTGTTTCCTAAAACCTTTGTCAGATTTGCACAAGCTATGTGTGCTATGGGTGGTATGTGTGGTATAAGGTATGTGGGGATACCTAATTTAATCTGGATATTTCGAAGGAAACAGCTACTAACCAGAGTTGGTATCTGCTTGTGAAATATGGTTGTCTCAGATAGACAGGGCAGTTGGTATTGAAGGCAGCCCTCAGGGCGCTCCGTGCAGATGCTGGGAAACCCCAGTGACCGTGCTGCCCCCGGAGCCCAGCACTCATTGTCTCCAGCCCCGTCTTTCTCCATTACACTGTGTGGTAGTTCATTCTTTGTATGAGTCTGTGAATGGCATATGTCAGGCCAATATGAAGACATTCCTATTCTGGGTAATAAATAGATGCCTTGTTTTGTTTTTGTGGTGTTGGGGTTTTTTCCCCCCTGAGGATCATGAGAGAGACAAAACATATTTGGTTTTCTGAAAATAGAAAAAAATTTCAAAATGAAAAATCATCATCTTTTAAGTGCCTAGAACCAGGTAGCGGTAGGTGATCTGCTTTGAGCGTCACCCTTGGACGTGTGTAATGCTTCTCTCAGTGTCTGAGGGACTCTGAGGCTGGACAGGCCACTTTGTATCTTCTCAGGAGTCTTCTCTCCATCGGCAGAACTTAATGCCAGGATCTGCTGAAGCAAATGCCCAGACGTGATTGATCCCTTTTAGAAACCTGGCCTCCTGGCAACTGTATCCTGCACCCTCCCTGTGTGGAGTTCAGAACCTCCTGCTCCCTCTTACCCTGCCTCTTCTGTCACCACCAAGGCGGGTGCTTCCCTGACACCAATGGTGGCAGGCCCACGCCCACCACCCAGAGCCCACCACCCAGAGCAAGCCAGCTATGCAGATGTGGAGGGCGAGGCCTGGGAGGGCAGGGGGCGGAGGGCATATCTGAAGCCGAATGAACAACTGCTCCAGCAGGTCCGACTAGTTTTGGGTGCCCAAAGACATCTTTGTTTCTCTATAGTAACCCCAAGTAGCAGCAGACTTAAGCTCTTAAAGCTAATGCGTGTCTGCATTGCCGCATTATTTCAAAATGCTCCACCGAGGCATAACCCATCTCAGCTTGGAGAGGATGCTCCACCAAGTACTTGTGTTTCCAAGGACTTTGACACAGACTGGGGAAGAAGGGAATGGGTTCCGGCTCCTCTGTGAGGACACGCCGGATAGATGTGTACAGTCCCTTTTCGGGAAGCCTGTGTGGACTTGCTGGGCACCAGTAAATCCTACCGCTTGAATATGCTATGGTCAGAAACTGAAATAATGAAATGTCACTTGCTGCACCTCAGCCTCTCTGGCTGGCTCTTATCATTCCACGCCACAAGGCCAGGCGCTGGGGCTTCCAGCAAGCCCAGGCGCACCCCACCCTTGTGTTGAAAATGTTGCCCAAGCTCAACTCAGGGAATCTGAACGTCTGCGGGACATCTCTGCCCCAGAACAGGTTTGTCTAAAATTCTAGCTCTAATAAAGCTGTAACAAGGTGGCAGCTGTTGAAAACTACTCCTTTGAATGGTTTTATATCCCATTTTAAAATCTCGGAGACAGATTGGCCTTTCAGAGTCCTCTCCTCTTTTAAGGACGCTCTCTGAGCATGTGTACCTGTGTCCCCCCAACTGCGTGGCTCTCATAGAAGACCATGCCAGCGTAGGAACTTGAGTGCAGTGGACGACATCGTGCCACTTAGCCCTGATGGACATAGTGGTGGTCGTTTTCTGGACAACTACTAAAGTTAATGGATTAATTTTTATTTTTTTAAACCGTGCCAAGAAAAGGAAAAGCGATTTCACTTGGTAATGATGCATAGCTGTCCAGCAGAAATGTGTGTACAGATTCAAAATGTGAATACGTGCCTTCTTAAAGATCCTGAAGTTGGAGTAGCACGAGCAAGAATTATGAGCAGGTGGGAGAGACTTTGTTAAGGGTCTTTGAAACCTGCGTTTTAAGAGGTAGAATACTGAGGAAAGAAATACGGCTTGGTCCGTCTGGGAGTTGCATTATGACCCCTGCCTCTTTGGTGGCTCACACCCACAGGAGAGAGATGGGGAATTTCTTCTGGTGTGATTTGCCCATGGGGAGGGTCAGCTCTGAGTCTGTTCTGAGGGCATGGCAGAAAGACACAGTTCATGGGATACCTGATTATGATCGTGCTTTACTAAATGACTGCATTGCATAAAATCAGTAAATTATCAATACATAGAAAATTGACTGTTAGAAGTGCCTTTACCTCAAAGTAATTATTTTTTTAAACAAAACAAACAATAAACAGCTGCCGTGTTTACAGAGCACTCTATCCACTGCTCCCTCCCCC